AGAAACTGTGAGTTAGGGGTGACTTCCTTTCTTTATACGTATATGAAATGCTTTACAATATATAATGCATTCATTCATTCATTTTCACACATTCAACAAGTATTTACCGAATACGTAGTGTAAGAGCCAATTACTGTTAGATAGCATAACCAAAATAAAGTCCCTGGTCTCCAGTAACTTCCTTTCTAATATTGGACACTACCTTACTCTATTTGGGATGCTATAACAAGCTACCATAACCTAAGTGGCTTAAACAACAATCATTATTTCTCACAGTTCTAGAGGCTTGAGAAGTCCAAGATCAAGGCACTACTAGCCTGCTTCCTGGTTCATAGACCCCTATCTTCTCGCTGTGTCATCAGGTGGCTGGGGAAAAAAGGAGAGAGCTCGCTGGGGTCTCTTTTATAAGGGCACTAATCCCATTCATGAGGGCTCTGCCTTCATGACCTAATCACCTCTCAAAGACCTCATTTCCTAATACCATCAGATTGGGGGTTGGCATTTCAACATATGAATTTGGGGGGGACACAAATATTCAGTCCATAACACATCAACATTTACCACGGCAGGCATGGGAAAAGGGAATAAGCTAAATATAACATAGATTTTCTCTTCTTCAATTCCTTCCATTTATGCTGTATGATTGACCCCACAAAGACAAGCGCTATGCAGAGTTGCAAAAGAAGAGCTATTTTTCATCAGTTCCATTCACTTCCCCTTTAGCAAACTCTCTTTGCCACAATCCTCATCCAACCTGGATCCTTGTGCCTCTGGTCTGAAGGGCTGCCAAGGGCACTTATCATGTCACTCCATTCTAGATCTCTCTCCCTGGCAGTGCCAAATGCTCCACGTGATTCTTGATTCCTTCTTGGTTTTAAGATGTATCTCTCTGTCCTACTCTCTTAAGATGATTCTGGATAATTTTCTAACTTGACACATTGTTTTGATAAGAATGTTTTAAGTTAAAATTAATTAATAACTAACTGCTCAGGAGCATAGAATAATCATTCTATTGAATAACTATATCTGAAGAATTTTGATATACATTAGATTTGAGTATAATGCTAGACTCTGCTCAGACTCTGTTCATAATTTATAGCCTTTCTGTGTTCAACAAAAATGTCCCAGTACCTGCAAGGTAATCAATCTCCTGAAAACCAAAGATGGACTCACCAGATGAGGAATAGATTGAGTAAGCAGGAGTTTGTCATCCACTGTTTGTGACAGTCACCAAAGAAGGGCTGCTTTTAATTGCCAGATCAAGGATGCACTTCTATCATTTCAACTGGCAATGGTCAATGTGATGTGAAAGACTACATCAAAACAAGGCCAGGACACAGAGAATGGCTTTTCATCTTGCAACACAATGTGGAAAATTTATTTTAGCATAAATATCTACAGGAAATATTCACGCAGGATTTAATCTTGCCAGAGTGAAAGGTCTTAATACCTCTTATATAGAGATCTTGAGGATAGATCACCATGAGACTTTCTCCCCTGTACTCTGTGCCACCACAGGGTGTGATTGTTTCCTCCATGGTCATCCCAACTTCCCCCAAAACATACAAACACACACGCACACTTTGGACCCTATCCAATAGCAGAACTAGACAGGGATGACCAATCCACAATCCCAAACACAACCGTGTATGAGACCTAACGGGAAGAAGAAAAGTGGTTAAAAGGATGAGGAGCTGTGGGAAAGAGTATGTGATGAAGGTGACTGCCAACGGTCACTGGGTGACCACATGAGGTGCTCCAAGCATTTAAAACTAAAACCATATGTATTTTGGATAGAATTTAATAGAATAGAAAATCACTCCCATATTTCTTCCCCTCTGTGGACACAAACACAAAGCAAAGGCTTATCTGTATGTGTCAGTTTTCCTGGCTGGCTTGATCACATGATTATGGACTTTAATTCTCTTCTTTCTTCAATTAGGGCAAAAATGCTAGAATGACACGCAGCAGGGAAGCAGATACTGGCATCTGAGATTGTTGAACATGGTGTATATCTAAATCTAGATCTATATCTAAATCAAAATATTCATTACTCTGGAGGAAAGAATGTTCCACCATATCACTTAAATTGTTAACAGAATGTGCCACTGAGGAAAAACGGACTTAGCACAAATTATAACTTCGTTTGGAAAATGCTTTCAGGTAAAGTGCACAGTTTGCATGGTAATGATTTCACAGCTAGAGTCATTTTGTGAGAACAATATTTGAGATAAGTTCTTTAACCAAAGAACCAGAATTATGCTATGCTGGAAATTTACCTTGTTGGTTTCCTTCCAAAACCTCCCACAGGAGATGTCACCTGTGTAGTGTTGTGGAAGTTCAAGTTGTTTGGCAAGAATTCTTAAAAATCCTTAAAGAAAGATGACTTGCTTTTGGGAAAAATGAAAGCCACATTCAGGAGTGATACGGCAGAGAGGCAGATGGGCCAGACCAGATGCGGTTAGGAGGGTATACTCGTTTGTACCCCAGGCAGATCACTTGAAACCATCGGCCCTAAATCAGTTTGAAACCCCTGTGTTCTTTGTTATCCCAGGCACTAAAAGCTAAAGTGTTTTTGAGTTTTTAAGGAGGGGCAAGTCTGGGGATGATACTTTTGAACCATGAAAAATGTATTAGGCAAATGTTATAAGTATGAAAATTGAGAAACAAAACATAGGTTTGTAGGGGAGGAAAAATAATTTTCCCCTTACTCTTCTGATTTCCCGGCTGAGACCCCTGTAATAAAAGACAGGTTAACAAGAGAAAAACAAACAGCAGTTTATTAGCATATATACGTCATGTGTACATGAGAGATACCCAGGGGAAAATGAGTAATTCAAAGAAATGGCTAAGAATTCAGGCTTAAATACCATCTTAATAGGGAAAGGATGGTGGTAGGCCTTTTAGGGGGAAGTAAATGATTTTTAGGAAAGATGGGCCCTTAGAAGAATAGATGGGAGGTATGATGCTTTGTGACAAAGTTTGTCTGGCTGTGGTGTCAACTTTTAGCCTCCTCTCCTGTAATAAGATCAATCTTCCCTAGTTAATGAAACTCCCGAGGAGGGGATTTATGACAATTGAGTTCCTTTTGGAGCATCTGTCTTTAGTCAGGTAAGTGGAGTTCAGAGAAAGCCTCTCCCTCCATCTGCTGTTTGTCAAGCACTACAGCTCGAAATAATCAATATACTAAAGCGGCATATTTTGGAGTGGCATATTCTGCCACCCTTCAGGTTCTAGCGAGTTTCCAGGACATTTCTCTTAAAACAGCATATGAGTCGAAAGTCAAGGATGTGTCCATCTTGGTGCATGATTTGTTACCAGTTTTTAAGTAAGTCTTTGGAAGAGTGGAAGGTGGTAAAGACACATATGCCAAGTTTTCATCACTCATACAGCTAGAGGGCTTACCCATTTTGAATTAAGTAATGGGGTTTATTAAAAATGTGCACTACGTAGAGGGGACTATGGAACTTGACCAGAAAACCAGAATAGTTCAAAGAAGTGTTTGTGAGGAAGCATTTATTGCCAGAATCTGTAAATCAAAATCAGGAACAAAATTAACGTGAGTGCCCTCTTAAATGTCTCACATAATGCAATTAACTTGGGTGAAAGAGAAGCTGAGAACACAGCAAATTTTTGAAGCCAAATAGGTTGACAGGAGTGGTGACTCAGCACCAAGCTTGCGCCTCCGTGAGCAGAGCAAAAGTTTTAGAGACAAGTCAGGGGGGACTCGAGAACCTCTAAGCTCCACCTTTGGGAAGGGAGGTCAGGCATCAAGACAAAGGACTTCATTTAAATTCCAGGCAAAGATGGTCCAGTTCTTGTTATTAACGTGAATGAACTCATGTAATCTCCAAGTATACGTCGCCAGGTAATCTCTTATTTGTGTTAGAAATGATGGGGCAGGTTGACAGAAATCTCCAAAAGAGCATGTGGCCCTAGCATGGTTCCTGCAGATCACTGGGTTCAGTCTCACTTGACAGCTCTGTGACCCCACCCCAATTCCACCCTGCCCTCAAGTTTCCTTCCTTATGAAGTGGTAGAAGGTGCTGACTCAGATCAAGAAAGAACCTTGTCAATATATGGGAACATACCAAGTCACTATAAATTTTTCAGTAATTTTATCAGAATATCTCACCAATTTCTTCTGACAAAACTTGCTATGGTTCAGCCTCTGTGGCTTGAATGTAAAGATAAAAGTACAATAGTTGATTGTGGTCAGCGTGGAATTTCCAGGGAAGGATTTGAGGGTGGTGGAATGAATGCTGAATACTTTTGTGGGGGTGTGACTTTGAAAGTCTTACTGAAGTAGGTACATATTCAGTATCAGTACCAGCTCCCTTCAAGTGTTTGCAAACTACTATCACAAGCAGGTTATGAGGAGAATGTAGCCACACTCCCAAAATGCTCCAGCAATGCTAAGACATACCATATCTAGACATAGGAAAACCAAGAGAGTCCATTTGCAACTCAACAGCTGATGGCTTGCAGCCAACCTTTCCCACTTAGGGGCCCAAGGAACTGAGTTTGAACAACTTTAACGTCATGGTTTGCCAGCTCCTGAGCAGTACAGAATTTTCTCTCTATGAGGGAACATGTGCTGTGCAAAAGGGGAGTCTCATCAAATAATACAAAACCTTTAATCCATGCAGGTATGTTCAAAGAGTATTATTCACAAAGAGATCAATAATTTGAGGTTTTTTAAAATAAATATCCATAACAGCTAATTCTCCAAGTTTGTGTTTTTGTTCATTCTTGATGGTAGAAGAAATCCAGAAATTCAGAGAATTAGGGATAGGTGTGTTATATACTTAAAAAAAAAAAAAACTAATCAAGACAAATACAATGCAAATGGAAAGGTTATTTGGGGCACCCTAAGCCCATAAAAACTGTAAGACATGGGCCACTAGTTTTTATTTGCTTAAGTGGCCCATGTCTTACAGAAGTTTCCCTAGAAGCAAAGCCTGAGATGACAATCCTTGTTCAAATAATTATTACGAAACTGCTCTCAAGAGAAGAAGATCTAGGAATGCAAATCTGAGTAAACGAAAAAAAGCCAAGCAAGAACATGTCCTCAGGTGGAGACTAGCTTTAGTCAGATCCCACGGGAAAGCTCTGGAACAGCTCCTGAGATCATAATCTCAATCCTACCTTGAGGAGAGAGAGGGTAAGAAGGGCATAGCCAACTGATCGAGGTGGCTCCTATTTAGCCAAGGACAATTCTCTGGAAAATGAGAACCTGTTCATTGTTGTCAGCCAATCCTCACATCACTTGGAGGCTGGGTATACCAGCTGGTAAAGGAGATCTGGGCAGACCGCCAGTTATATCCATTATAGTTCACCCCTTGTCTCCGTGCTTCTTTTACATTAAGTTCACTCCATCCAGGCAGAGTTTCTCCAGGACTAGAATTCTCCACTTCCTGGGGAAACCTCAGAGGAGAGTTAGTAGGTTGAACTATCGTTCCTAATGCTTTAGTTGATCCTGAGATAATAACTGATATTCAACTTCTTCTTCTTCCATGGCACATTCTAGATTGCCTTTCCCTTTGTCTAGTACTATGTGACTTGCTTCTTGGGTGAATCCAGACCTCGTCACTCATCATGAGGCCCTGGTTACTTTATCCTTATCAGGCCGTAGTTGTAGAACTTGCCTATTTCCGGTTTCCATTGAACTTAAGGTACCAAGAGGAAGCCTAGTAGATCACTTTAGTGCCAGAAATATTCCTGCTTGTCACTCTTATTTAGCAGTAGCCTTACCCGCTAATGATGGCTAGGTCTAACGTCATGCGAGTATGGTAACTCTTTTCTCTGCTTAGTTTCCTACTGGCACAAGAAGTCCCAAGTGCACAGGCAGCAGCAAGAGCTGCTAAGGTGGCCCCGTATGATTCCTGCCTACTGGTGTTCACACCTTTGTGTAATCTCCGCTCCTTGGGTGTGAATGGGGTCTGTGACTTGCTTTTAACCAATAGAATATAGCAAAGTATTGGGCTGTGTTTTTATTTCCTAGGGCTGATATAACACATTACCACGAACTGGGTGGCTTAAAACAATAGAAATTTATTCTCTCACAGTTCTAAAGTCTAGAAATCCAAAATCAAGGTGTTGGCAGAGTCACGCTTCCTCTAAGGCTCTAGGGAAGAATCCTTCCTTGCCTCTTCTTAGCTTCTAGTGGTTGCCAGCAATCTCTGGCATTTGTAGGCTTGTAGCTGCATCACTCCAATCTCGGTCTTCATCATTGCACAACCTTCTTTCTACGTCGGTCTGTGTCTTCACATGGCCTTCCAATAAGGACACAGTTATTGGATTTAGGACCCACCCTCATCCAGCGTGTCTGCATCTGAACTAATTGCATCTGCAGAGATCCTATTTCCAAATAAGGTTATATTCTGAGATTCCATGTAGACATGAATTGGAGAGGGGCACTATTCAACCCAGTACAGTTGTCATTTCCATCATTGTGCTAGAGAGATTATTGCTCCTTGATGGCTTGATGAAGTAAGCAGCCATTTTGGAGAAGCCCAAGTGTCCGGAAACTGCATGCAGCCTCTAGGAAATGTGGGAGGCTTCTGAGAACTAAAGTCAGCCTCAGGCTGACAAGAAGCTGGGGACCTAAGTCCTACAACCACAAGGGAATGAATTCTTCCAACAGCTTAGTGAATGTTATGGGCTGAATTGTGTTCCCCAAAAGGATATGTTGAAGTCCTAACCCTCAGCACCTCAGAATGTGATGTCATTTAGAAATAAGGTTATTGCAGGTGTACTTAGTTAAGACAAGGTCATGCTGGAGTAGGGTAGGCCCTTAATTCAGTACAACTGATGTCCTGACAAGACGAGAGGAGAGACACACAGGGAGAAGCTGGCCATGTGAGGACAGCAGCAGAAAGTGGCATGATGCATCTACAAACCAAGGAATGCCAAGGATTGCCAGCAAACACCAGAAGCTAGAAGAGGCAAAGAAGGATTTTCTTCTACAGGTTTCAGAGGGAGCGTGACTCTGCTGACACCTTGATTTCAGACTTCTAGCCTCCAGAACTATGAGACAATAAATTTCTGTTATTTTAAGCACCCAGTTTGCATATTTTGTTATTGTAGCCTTGGGAAACTAATAGAGTGAGCTTTAAAACAGATTCTTCCCCAGTAAAGCCTCCGAATGTAGGTGCAGCCTGGCTGACGTCTTGAGTGGAGCTTTGTGAAACTCTAAGCAGAGGACCCAGCTACCTCATGTCCAGACTCCTGATCACAGAAACTGTGAGATAAGAAGTGTGTGTTGTTGGAAGCTGCTCAGTTGTGGTTACTTGCTATGCAGTGTTTCTGAATCTATGTCTTCACCAACTGGAGACATGGCAACGTATATTGGCCATTTAAAAAAATGCATATGCCTCATTTTGGAAGTTAAAATTCCATTATTAAAGCATGTTATCTCCAAGCTGGAGCCTCCACTATATCTTCAAGAGGTTAGCAACTTCTAGATAGCGTGGTTTGTGGTAGAAGCAGTGGATCTCACGGTACTCCTTTGTTGTAAGGTAGGCCTCTTGGTCCAGAGCAATCTTTTACAGGATCTTGTTGGTAGATTAGATACTGGGAACCCTTGGATACTAGTTCTGGCTGCCCAAATCCATGTGTAGAATATGTGACAAACCTGGCCAGTATGAATCCTTGCCTTTCCAGAATAAAAGGGGCCTGATATAATCAACTTGCCAGTAACTGACTGGTTAGTCTCCTTGAGGCATGATACAATTTTGAGGGATCAATGTTGGTCTCTGTTTCTGGTAGATCAGACATTTACCAGCCATAGTATAAGAATCAACCTTGAGGAGAAGGAGCCCATGCCGTTGAGCCCGCACTTGGCATCCATCCCTACCTCCATGTCTACTCTGGTCATGAGCTCTTAGAAGAACTGGTGTGGTCAAGGACAGAGGCTGTGTGATGTGAACTGGTCAAGTCCTTCTATCTACTTATCTCTTCCACAGTGGGCACCAATGTATCTGCTCCATTTTTCTTATTTTTGTTTTTATTATTTAGCCTGCATTACTAGGAGTTGCTTTTGTGTCTTCATGGCTCAATGATCGGCCAATGATTTCAGCCTTAAGACTTCTTCCCTTTGCCAGTTTGTCTTTGTGACTTGGTGAACACATTCAAAATTGAGGCCAGCTACAAGTCCTTTTTTTTTTTTTAATTTTTATTTATTTATTTTTCCCCCAAAGCCCCAGTAGATAGTTGTATGTCATAGCTACACATCCTTCTAGTTGCTGTATGTGGGACGCGGCCTCAGCACGGCTGGAGAAGCTGTGCGTTGGTGCGCGCCCGGAATCCGAACCCCGGGCCGCCAGCAGCGAAGCGCGCACACTTAACCGCTAAGCCACGGGGCTGGCCCTACAAGTCCTTTTGAAGAACATGGACAGCTAATGTATTGCCCGTCTTTATGTATGGCGCTTATTCAAGACCCATTTTTTTGAGCCTTTAGATTCCTTCTTCCACGTTTTGCCTACAGTAGTCTAGTATCTCTACTTCATTTACTGTGGGCCATTGCTTTCAAGAACCATCTTGTAGCATATTGGAATCAAATCCTGGAGCTCTGTCCAAAATGTTAAATCTCCATGCTGACAAACTCTCCCCTATCTAGCTCCCTCTTGACCCAACAGCTTATTTATCCAACCCCAGGTATTCTCTTCTGGTGCATCCCAATACATGGTGCCTGACTGTTTAATACCCTCATGTCGGTTAATCATTGTCTGTGATCTGCAGCAAGGATGACCATAGCCTCCTGAGCGAGGTGGCTTCTACTTGGCTTAGATTAATTCTTACAAGGAGGCTGCTGACATCACTCACAACGCTTGGCTGATGAGTGCAGCATCTGAGAAAATGGTACCTGGGCAGAGCACCAACAGCATTCACTTTACCCTGAACTCGTTGGGGAAGCTTGCAGTGAGCTGCATGAGGTTCAGGCACTCCCCATTTTCCACTCTGCTGTGCACCATGAATGTTCCAGAATCATTACTGGAAATTGAAGTTTTGAACTGTTTGTATCATGTTCCGGTTTCCACGTTTATGCTTGCTGTACAAACACTAAGGCTGTGTTGAGACAAACTGCACCACACCGCCTTGTATATTAAGTGTCATATTGCAGGAGTTGTGTTTTTCTGTTTTTAAAAAAATCTAAATTTCCCTTCAGTTATCCTTTCTAAGGCCAGGAAATTCCCACTTAAAATTACTCCCTTTCTGACATATAGAGTAGAAGCCACCTTACCTGACCCTTAAGACATAAGTTGATTGGTTATTTGAAATTGTTATTTGAAGTAACAAAAAAGAAATGGTGTATAAATCTCTTAAACATTTTGCTTTAGTTTAAAACATATAAATGTACATTTATTAGCCAATTTGGGAAGATTTTTCCTTTGAGTGTGGGGTCTTTGTCTCTCACACACAAAATGCATCCAGTTTTATTTTCTCAAAAATGGAGTGAGAAGAGGTCTAATTCAGAAATTCCTATATTTTATAAATTTTGCAGACTTTTAGAGTTGCCTGTCCACTGTAATTGAGCAGCAACATTTTTAGCAACTCATTATTATTGAAAACTTCAAAAGCATTTGTAGAAACAACTCTCTTCCATTATATACTCACTCATTTCTTTATGCAATATTTAGTTGAATTACATAATTGCAATGATAATTACAAATGATGTAACAGGTCTTGGGCAAAATGCGACTGATTCTTGGTAAACATATGATTCAACTGATAAAAGCAGTAGAGCACAGCATAGCAGAGATTAGCCTCCTGGGCAAATGCATTTAACAAGTCAGTATATTTTATATTGTCTGTTAATCTGTAGAGTAAGTTATTCGGAGATTAAGAGAGCATCTGCAGGGGCCGGCCCAGTGGCGCAGGGGTTAAGTTCACCTTTGGCGGCACAGGGTTTGCGGGTTGGGATCCCGGGCATGGACCTATGCACCGCTTATCAAGCCATGCTGTGGCGGCATCCCATATAAAGTAGAGGAAGATGGGCAGAGATGTTAGCCTAGGGCCAGTCTTCCTCAGCAAAAAGAGGATTGGCAATGGATGTTAGCTCAGGGCTAATCTTCCTCACCAAAAAAAAAAAAAAAAAAGACAGCATCTGTAGTACTCTTCTCGTTACCATCTTGGAAAACAAGGGGCGTGTTATGGCCTGACATTTGTATCTTCAGGTCCCATGTACACTCAGAGGAACTCCTCCTTAATGGAGACCTCCCCTACAGTTTCTTAATCTCATTTTCCTTATAGTCAAATTTTTCAAATTTATTATTTAATTAATTAATTTATTTATTTATCTAGTTCAGTGCTGGAACTTTTTTTCATTCAAAATCTTATAAGCAATCATAATAGATTAAAAAGAAAATTCTGATTAAAGAAGGGACCCATGTCTCATTTATTTTGATTCTCATTTGCCAAAGAAAGTGGCCACTGGGGTGCAATTGTAAAGAAACCACTTTGAATACCACAGCTCTAAAGGAGAGATGTATTTCACAATTCTTCAAGTTATATTATGTTGTTGCCTATGAAATATTACAATTTTTATAGATGAAAATGTCTTATACAAAAAGTGGGAGTTTTCTGTTTGGTTTTTGTTTAATAAACAGGGACAGATGTGGGCTGGGGGATGACAGTTGTTGGAGATCTTCCTTGAGTGACTTCTCACGACCTTAACTTCTAACCTGAATGTAAAAATAACTAGAGAAGAACTGCCAGTCTTTTTCTGTCTGAACTTTACATTGCCGTCCATAGCAGCTTTCATTCCAAATTAAGTGTTCCTCTTTTAACTCTGGCCTTGAAAGCTCAATCTAAATGTCATAAAAAATAGTGGCTTCAGGAGTTGGAATCTGTGCACTCTGGATCGTTGCTGTCCTTTAGGTCTAAGACTAAGTGCATTTTATAGCTTTGCACTCTTCTGGCCCCAATTCTGACAGTAGCAAAATTGGATTATTGCACCACATAATGAAGATAACAAGGAAGGAATGTCTGTGAATTGCTGTTAAGGATTTGTTGGAGGAGCCAGCATTTGAGAGAGGATTCTGCCCTTAGACTCACAGAATTTTCAAGCTATCAAGGGCTTTAAAATCACTAATTCCCCAGAGGTAGCAAGTGACGTGCCCACACAGCTAGTAAATGACACAAACTGTGGATTGCCTGAGGTCTTATTTAGTGCTCCTTCCTCAATGCAAAAAGTCCTTCACCTTTTCTGTTGTTGCTGTTCTTGGACCCCTTTCTGCTTGTAAGGAAAATAATGAGCCCAGTCGCTGAAAAAATATACATGCTCAAACGTACACCAAAATTTGCACACACTGTCTTGCTGGGAATCTCAATTTACTTGTCCATGGATCCAGTTTGAGGATGACAGAAGACTTCCTTTATTCAAAGTGCCAGTGAAGGAGCAGAATGTTGTAAATTCAGTCTATTTTGAGTGAGATATCGGGCGCAGAGATATTCAAGGACAGCTTATTTTTTTACATTAGAGAAAAGTAATGTATATTCTTGGTGACCCAAAGCTCACATGTGGCCATGTGAGGGATGCAGTACCACAGACAAGGTGAGCAGCCCAGGGATAAGATGACAGAGTGAGCTAATTGTATTGTGACCAAGGTTACCTAGGGATAGTATCTTAAAATTCTACCCAAAAAGATAATCTAAAAAAACACAAAGTACAGCATAACTTTCTAATAGATGAATTTTAAAAAGTCATTACAAAGCAGCTGAAAATTGAAATATAACTTTGCAACCTAAATTTGACAATCCTTTAATGAAGTAGGTGTGACTATGAAGGAAGTCATCAATCAGAAGTACAGCAAGCCTAGTAAAAGGTGGCCAGGCAACAGGAAGTGATGACCACACTGTATTAGGAAGAAAAAAGGCAAAATAAGGGAGAATATAAAGAAAAATTAAAACTGAACAAATATTCAGAACCATAATTCAAGAAAATTTTCCTGACTTAAAAGAAAATTTTTATTTGTAAATTGAAAAGGCACAGCATATACCCAGGAATATTCACCCAAAACTCTTAACATTGAAATATATTCTAGTAAAATCATTGGACTTTAGAGTTAAAGAAAGAATACTTCGGACAACCAGGTGAAAAGAATAAGTCACTTATAAAGGAAAATAAATCAGGCAGGCATTATACTTTCTCCTGGCAACATTAGGTATCAGAAGACAGTGGAGCAGTACTCACAGGATGGGTAAGAGAAGAAGGATGAATCAAGGACTTTACACCAAGTCAAGTTGTCTGTTACATAGAAGCACAGAGATTACCGGATGGGAGGGATTATTATTCTCAGGAGACTTTCCTGAGGAAACTGGAGGACAAATTCTCTCTTTTAACATCTTAAATATTTCACTTCACTCTCTGCTTGCTTGCATGGTTTCTGAAGATGTTTGTTGTAATTCTTATCCTTGCTCCAATATGGGTAAAGTGTTTTGTTTTTTTCTTTTTGGCTTCCTTCAAGATTTTAGTCGTGGTCTTGCATTTTCTGCAGTTTGAATATGATATTCCCAGGTGAAGATTCTGGGTATTTATACTCCTTGGTGTTCATTAAGCTTCCTGGATCTGTGGTGTGTCTATCATTAATTTTGGAAAATTCTCAATCATTATTGCTTCAAACACTTATTCTGTTCCTGTCTCTATTTTTCTGGTATTATCATCACACATATGTTGCACCTTTTGCCATTCTCCCATAGTTCTTGTGTGTTCTATTCCATCTTTTTCATTCTTTCTCTTTTTGCATTTCAGTTTTGGAGGTTTGTATTGACAGTTTCTTCAAGCTCACTGATTCTTTCCTTGGTCATGTCTAGTCTATTGAGTATTCTTCATTTCTGTTACAGTGTTTTTGATTTCTAGCAATTCTTTTTGATTCTTTCTTAGAGTTTCCATGTCTCTGCTTACATTACTCATCTGTTCTTGCATGCTGTCCACTTTTTCCTTTAATGACCTTAGCATATTAATTATAGTTATTTTGAATTTCCAGTCTGATAATTCCAACATCTCCCCCATATCTGAGTCTGGTTGATGCTTACTCTGTCTCTTTAAACTGTGTTTTCTGTCTTTTAATATGCATTGTAATTTTTGTTGAAATCCAGGAATGATGTCCTGGGTAAAAGGAACTGAGATAAATAGGCCTTTAGTGTTAGGCTTTATATCTATACGGCTAAAAGTAGGGATGTGTTTAATGGTTGCTGTAGCTATAGACGTCAGAGTCTAAAATTTCCTCTGGTGTCCTTGTTTTTATCTCTGCTGTTGTCTGGGGGTTTCCTTAGAGACTTCTTCTGGAACAAAGTCTGAGACATGCAGTTCCTTCGGTTGTATTCCGCCGTTCTTGGACGTGAGCCGCAGCACTAGGTGCAGCAGCGCTGTCTGCTCCTGAGGTTTTGCTGGGGTAAGCTGTGATTCTCTGGATCCACTTGTCTGAATCTCCAGTTTTTCAGGTAGTAGTTTGCCCAGTGATTTCAGTTCTCTGGGGGAACTAAGAAGAGTTGTTGCTTCTCAGTTTGTTCAGCTTTTTTCTTGTGAGAATGGGAGTAACAACTTCCAAGCTCCTTGCATGCTGGACTAGCAACCAGAAGACAAGCTCTCTCGAAACCAAGAATAACTAGGGAAATTTTGACAAAGGACTGGTAGTGATCATTGAATATATTTATTCAGATCTCAGAACATTATAGGAACGGTACAACCATTAAAACTGGGAAAAGAACAGGAGATGCAGAGTAAAATAAGCATGAGAACTGCTTCAACTGTAATGGCTTAGAGACAAAGGTTATTATTTAAAGCTGAAAAATTATTTAGCAAGAGCATAAACGTGTTTAACAATAGAAATATAAATACCAAAAAAAATAATACAATTGGCTAAAATTGGGTGGAAATGGAGGAATAAGTAGCCACCTTTATTGCTGCTTATTGTAAAGAACAGGTGTTGTACAAAGAAAGAGTGGAATAAGCTTATTGCAAAAAGGTAGGATTTGAATTAAAGGTAACCACTGGAGTTAAAATGCAAACCTTCCTAAATATCAAAAATACTCATTTTAAAAAAGATAATGTAAAGCTTCATAAATTTCCTAGAAAAGGTAACACTTAACCTGCATCTTACAAGTTTTGCTATTTAGTATTTCCATAATTGTTTTCTAGTATTTGAAGATTCCTACTATGTTTATATGTATATGTGTGTAAATATATATATATTATATATATATATACTTTTTTACTTTGGGTTATCTAGAATTCAAGCATTTTGCTAAATTCCAAATATGTTGGAATTAATTATTTATCATTTTGTAAATTAATTCTAACTTTATTACCTTGTGATCAGAAAGCACGGTCTGAAATTTTATTCTTTAAAACTTGAGACCTGCTTTAAGATGGTTAATTTTTCTAAGTGTTCCATGTATGCTGAGGAGAGTCTATGTGCCATCTCCAATTGATGGATCCAAGTTCATTAAATTAGCTTTGTTAATTGTGCATTAAACCTGTTCTTTATTTCTAATCTTTCTTTCTGAAATGTCAATAATTGAGGGAAGTATGTGAAATCACCCCCAAATAATGTAATTTTGTCAGTTTTTCTGTTTAGCTCTGTTAATTTGCTTTGTAGATATTGAAATTATTTTACGAGTTGCATACTACTTAAAATTATTAAGTCTTTCTGGTAAATTAAACTTTTACCTTTTCCGTAAAAATACTGTTTGTCTCAAGATAACTTTGTTATTATAGACATAGTTTGACAGCTATTTGCTGACAGCATATTAAAGATATTCTTATCTTTATTCTGGTTTCCATTGTTGCTATTGAGAAGTCCGCCATCAAATTGTTTTTTTTCCTAACTGTTCTTAGGATCTACTCTTTCTTTGATATTCTGGAGATTCATTACAATGTACACAGGTGTCGATTTCTTTGTATTTATTCTGCTCTCTAAATATTGAACTTCATGTGTTTGAGGATTTATAATTTGTATCAGTTTTGAAAAA